TGTTGATTAATTAGTTTGTTTGAAGAGTGTTATTTATTCTCAGGTGTTTGTCTTAACACTTAAGTGCCCATTCTTGTGCTTTGGTTTCACCAGCCAAGTCTCTCTTGAGTTCTGCTTCTGCTGATTCGAAGAAGCCTCTTTCTTTGGTTTTGTGTGTGTTTGTTTCATCAGATCTCTCTCTGATTCAGTTTAAAGATTTGACTTTTGCTTATAAGAACCTCTTTGTTATTATGAGTTCGATTTTTCAAAATGTAGACATTATCAGCATCAAATTGGGTGACATAGTTCCAGCAGATGGTCGTCTCTTGGAAGGTGATCCTCTCAAGATTGATCAATCTGCTCTCACTAGTGAGTCTTTACCAGTAACCAAGAACCCTGGCCAAGAAGTTTACTCTGGCTCCACCTGCAAACAAGGAGAGCTAGAAGCTGTTGTGATCGCTACTGGTGTTCTTACTTTTTTCGGCAAAGCTGCTCATCTTGTAGACAGCACAAACCAAGATGGCCATTTCCAGAAAGTGTTGACTGCTATTGGTAACTTCTGCATCTGCTCCATCGCCATAGGTATGATCATTGAGATCGTTGTCATGTATCCTATCCAGCACCGTGCTTATAGAGATGGTATCGAGAATCTTCTTGTGCTTCTCATCGGAGGAATCCCTTTTGCAATGCCAACTGTTTTGTCTATCACCATGGCCATTGGATCTCACCGTCTCTCACAGCAAGGAGCTATCACAAAGAGAATGACAGCAATTGAAGAAATGGCTGGGATGGATGTTTTGTGCAGTGACAAGACTAGAACTCTGACACTCAACAAGCTTACCGTTGACAAGAGCATGGTTGAGGTTTTTGTTAAAGACTTGGACAAAGAGCAGCTTATGGTGAATGCAGCAAGAGCCTCTAGAGTTGAGAACCAGGATGCTATCGATGCTTGCATAGTAGGAATGCTTGGAGATCCCAGTGAAGCAAGACAAGCCATCACTGAAGTCCATTTTTTCCCTTTTAACCCTGTGGACAAGCGTACTGCTATCACTTACATTGATTCGAGCGGAAACTGGCAATGTGTCAGCAAAGGCGCACCAGAACAAGTA